GGCAGGAGCACCTGCACTCGGAAAGGCTTCCGAGCCACACGCTGAGCCAGGACTAACCGCAGGCCGGTACCAGTCCCTTTCTGCCTCAGTCTCGAACACACTGTCGACTGGCAGCTCCTCGGCCGAGCCGGCAGCGACAAGGCCCTTTGCATAAAGACCTGAACGGGTCATGTCCGGAAGATACCTGCCACACCGAATGTCGCAGTACATTTGACAAAGCTCCCGCAACGGTCCCGCTTGAATGTCTCTGGAGTAGGTTACGACAGACCGCCGATCCTTCAAGGAGTGGTGTCCCAAAATGGTGCAGGAGTCCTTGGACATGTCCGTCTTGCTCGCCCAGGACAGGGCAGTATGCTTGCACGAGTGACCCTTGAGATCAGTCCCCATGCTTGAATCCCCAGACTGAAGGATCGAAGAAATCCAAGACACAAACCTGCCCGTCGGAATCCGACGACCGCTCCATGACCCATTGAGCATAGGTGACTGCAGCAGGGGCAGGCTGCAGGCTCCAGTGGCGATCGGATGGCCCGACAAGCGCCACACCTCAACCCAAGCTTTAGCCCAAAGACCTTGACCCACACCCCGCTCGGGGGACACTAAGCTCAACTCAAGCCCCAACGGGTTGCCTGTCGACGCACACTTATGGGACGTTGAGATGCACTCAAGGAAACCCTCACCTTCTGCAAAATCGATGGTCATCAACTTGACTGCCCTCACATCCCCTACACGGGCTCTCGAGTGAATGCAGAACAAGCAAGCACCAGCGGCATATCTATCCCTTGCATCACGGCGGCTGTCCTGGACGAAAGCTTCAAGGTATGCTACCTCGCGAACCTGAAAAGGCCTGGCTTGCACACGAGGCGGGCGGTTGAACCGCACCTTGCGAAGACGCCCTTGCACAAGCGGGTGCTTGTGAGGATCTCCAATCGCATCCACACCCAAAATGAATCTAGCAAAGTTACAAGCTTCGATGCAAGATCCAAACACTGAATGCGAGGCCCCGCTCTGCTGCAGATGCTGGGTGTATTCGATTAACACCTGAGAGTCGATCGGGAAAGCTGACATGCCCTGGCTCGAGCACCATCCCACCATGCGGGCGAGACTGGACAACCGCTTCTTCAAAGTCGAGAGGGCCTTGCCACCTAGGGATTCGGCAACAAGACTGATCCGTTCTGCTTCGCACTTGTCCTTCAACAGTCTGCCAAGGGAGGAGCATTCGTATGCGTGGCTCAAGAGAACATCGTATCTTGCTGCAAGCAATTGCAACTGTTGCTCTTCAGTTTCTTGAGGCCTCTGAAATTTCCTGGCAGAGAAGGCGACCTGAACAAACTGTGAAGCATGCTCTTGGGGGTGAGCTTTGGCGGAGGCCTCCTCGAAAGAAGCGGAGTCCAAGGGTTCCGTTTGCAGAGGAGCCGGCACACTGCACTGAGAAAGGGAATTCAAGTTGCCCTGCGAGAAAACTGCTTTCATCGTCCCTCGCTCCCAAGGCATTTTAAGGGAATGTTTCGACACATGTTTGTCTGCAGCAAGCAACAGCCTATCGAGCGGTCGCGCCATACCCCAGAAAATGCGGGCGCTCACTGACCGTGGTAGAGTCGACTGAGGCGGCCACGATTTGCACGCACCAGCTCGGAAATTGTGCTGAAAATGCTTCTGATGGCTCTGCAAGTAGCACGCAAAGGGAACAAGTTCTGCACTCCGACTGCCAGCAAGATGTGTGAGCTGGCTGAAGCTGCGCCTAAGAACTGCAAGAGACCTAGGCGAAAAGGTGGGTCAGGCCGCAGGATCGCGGACTCCCAGCCTCTCAAGGTCAAGCGCTCCCACAGCCAAAGAAGCAGGAGGCGTCGCAAGGCAAGAGGCGGGCGCTGCGGCCGCCGTTCCATGCACACCCGGCTCTCCGGGAAGCTAAAGCCTTGCGTAAGGGGCCTGGGAACCTGTTACACGAAGGAACAAGCCTTTAGAGGCCCCGACAAAAAATTTTCTCACGCCTGCAAGCAAAACTGCGAATACCAAGACAAGCATGGTAAAGCAATCGTGAGAAAATAGCAAGTCATGCAGTACGATCCAGCAAGGCATGACAAGGGAAAAGTGCGCATAAAAAATTGTAAACAATTTTTTCAAACATGAAAACAATCAAATAAGAAAACATCCCCCTTCGGGAGAGTTTGTTCAGAAGTGCACTCGGCAAGAGGAGGATCGACCTCACTCAGATCGTGCAGTGAACAGCCTACCGGGCCGCCCACCAAACCCTTGCCTGCTGTCAGGCCTACGACCTTTATCAGGTTGGGTTTGGGGACTCTTGGAAGCCTCTAGACAAAGTGGGTCCCAAGGCTAAAAGGCCACGACGGCACTGCAACGTCTGAGCCGAAAAACTTGAGCCAGATGGGATTTTCTTCCCGTGCGGACAGCAGATGCCGCGGCCGATGGCCGCCTTTCGTTAACGAACCTAGAAACTGTACAGATCAAACAGCACAACACTCTACACTACGCACATCCGCACCGCAAGCGGGGACTGCACCACTACGGGAGTCCCACCAGCTCTCCCGAAGGAAAGAAGGTGGGACTGTGGCACACAAGAGCGTAAGAGCAGCGCTGGACCATGCACGAAAGCACAGAGGTGACCAGCATGGGCAGCCAGGGAGCACAGCAAGCCTGGCGGCTTAGCAAGGCCACCAAAACAGGCAAACAAGCCTGACACAAGTCGAAAGGACCAGACGGCCCAGGGGCCATAGCCCCGAGTAAAGCTTGAGTCGGACCACGGCAGCTGACAGCGCCTGTACACACCAAGTTCGCTACCAGCAGCCTGTACACAGCGACGAAGAAGGCCCCCCGGTGGTACGCACACGCGAGTGCACGTACCACAGAAGGGTCATGAGCATTATAGCCAAGAGAACTTTCATCAAGTGCACTGGACCACGACTGTCCTGGGCACATGGCCACAAAGCAGCGATGCATCAAGAACAGGCGGCAATCCTCGACAGACGACAAGCCTCCCGAAGGCACATTCGCACCAAGAGCCCCTTTCGCGAAGCCGGCGGGAGGCACTCACACGCTGCGCACTCACGCGCTGCAGCAGTACCGAAGCCCTGTAGGGAAGGCAATGCAACATGAGCATTATGTCAAGGAAGCAGTCGGGCGTGTATTTGGCTGGAAAGCAAACCAACCAGGGCCTCACAGGTGCCCAAGCATCTGCCTTCAGCCTTGTTTGACCAGCAACTTCAGTTTTCGGGTGCAGCTGACAAGCGCACACCGGCGTGAAATCAAAAGGATTACGGGGGTCGCTCTCAAGGGGGGAAGCGCGCGGGCAGAACCCTAGCCTAACGCCGGGCAAACCCCTGAAGCACTGGCGTGACCCTAGAAAGATGCTCACCTAAACGACAAACGGGTCTGTTTGGAGGTGTCCTTAGACTTGGCTTTGGGCTTGCCCTTAGGTTTGGGCTTAGGTTGGGCAGAGCAAGGGGAAACAGAACTGCCACCGCCTTGCTGCACAACCTCCGCAGGGATTGACTCTTTGGCCTCAAAGGATTCCTCAATGGACCGGCTCGTATCAGCTTCAACCTGGGCCATGGAACGCACTCTCGTTTGGGCGTTAAGTTTACGCCCGAGCCCTTTGCAAGTGGACTTCAAGACCGACGACGACGAGGTGGCACCAAGTTTAACCATGGCTAGACACTTGGAGCACATAAAGAAAGAACCCTTATTAACCATGTCATGACTGCCATGTATGCCCCAGCAGGCGGGAACCGGGGCAGCTCTGTCGCGACAAGGATTGGACATTTTGCGATCAAAAACCTCAGGAGGGTTACACTGCTCCACATAAAGCTGGCAAACGGTGCACTGGATCGCAAAGTTGTTGCTGGCTTTGGCCTCACAATCCTTCCAAACATGACCCAGCCCAGGGTCCGGGTTGGCGAGAGCCTCCTTAAGGCGTTGTTTTTTGTTCAAGGGCTTACCACTTTTTGGGCACTGACTAGGTTCATCACAAGAATCCACGGTCTTAGACTTACGATTTTTTGCATTTTTGGGCTTGGCAGGACTGGGCTTAACAAAGGCGGCATTAGGGACAACCAGGGGCTTAGGGGCAGTATCAGTTGCACCCCTTTTCAAAATCCACGGAAAATCCGGGCTCTTGCTCTGCCGTATGATGAAACCAGCACGGCGCGCTAAGGAGTAGCAGACTTGTTCCACCACGGAATCAACTTTCTTCAGCCACTTCGCATGCGCCCCCGAAAAGTGCTGAGAAGCCCTTTCCCCACAGAGTTTGTCAACGTCTTCGTTGATGCGGCGCCTCCACTGCACCCAGCCCTGCTTTTCAAAGTAAGCGGCACTTTTATGTGAAGAAACCCAGTGCAAGCGGATGCGACTGCGTTCGTGCCAAACCGTGCCCCATGGCACAGCACCTTCCTGCGGCGGGTTGGCCTTGCTCAGTATTTGCTTTACACTTTTGCAGTCAATGGTGGCATCAAAGTCACCGGTGACACGTTGCATCAATTCAAAAAGAGCTCGCTGTTCGGCCTGAGGCACTGTCATAGGCTCCGGTTCCGAGCAGGTGACACTCGCAACCCGCTGCGGCTGCCCATTGACCAAGGCATAGGCCCCTATGGACCAAGTCGTTACGAGGAGCCTTTGATCCGAGCCGCCTGGTCCTCCAGAAGCATCACAAGCAAAAACATATCGACTTCCTTCCAAAGTACTCTGGGTCAACCAGAGTCCCGTGACTTGCAAGCCGCATTGATCAATCGCAGGTTTGGGATGCCGCACTTCACTAAGGGGAGGCAGGCCTCTCAACCACAGTGAAGGCCAAGGGTACTGGGATTTCCAATCGGAAAACTCCTTGGCATCAAAATGCTTGCAAATGAACGGACATTCCCAAAGATTATGTTGCAAAGAAAGCGGACACTGGCACAGCCTGCACCAACCAGGCTTGGCTGAGGAAACCATCGCTCCTTGCCATACCGCATGCAAATTGCTAAGGGTAGCTCGCTGAACATGTTTGCGCTTCAACAACTTGCGGTGGACAGTGAAGTCAGTGCCCTGATCGAGCGAACCACAACCTTCTTGCTGGGCAATGCGAAGCCCTTGCTGGTGTAGCAGTAATTTATGCACCCACTCCCAGCCGCTGCGGATGACATCAGAATTGGTCCAGTCGAGCTGAAGGTTCCCTTTGGCATGCCGTGTGAGCATTCCACACCCAACTCAATCAAGTACGCTTGGGTGGCAGCAATTGGTCCGGTGACTCTCTTCCAATGGTCTTTTGCTTTGGACAAGTGATTCCAAATGCTTTTCCAAGTGCTGGCGAATTTTTGCCCATCCTCACGATGCCACTTTTTAAAGACACGGAAAACAGCCCTAATATGCTGCCGCATGATGGTGAAAGTCGGGTCTTCGCACTTGGCAGGATTCAAGGCAAAAGTCAGATCAACCGATCCTAGTTTTTGTCGGCCAGCATGTTTGCTGCAAATGGCGCGGTAGTACTTGCGCCGCTTGGGGCTCACCCCAAGGGCCTGGTGGCCCCAGAGGCCCGCTGACATGATTGAAGCTTTGACCACCCTAATCTTATGAGACACAAAGGGCACCCTGAGACTACAGAGTTTTTTATTACGGGCTTGTGCCTTGGCCTGTCTGGTTGCCGCTAAACCTAACAGCCGTCTTCGAGTGCCCCCGGAAGTGACACCTAGGTCGCGGGCGAAATTTTTGATGGCCGGATCATCCGGCTGGCATATTGCCTTCAAAGCCTTGCAAGCCTCAGACGACGTGGCAACAAAAGAAGTTTTGCTGATGGCAACTTGTGCACCCCTGGCCTCCAGGGATTTGCGAAGACCTCGAAACAAGCGCAAAGCAATGCTGGCAGTTTGCTTGGGAGCTGCGGTAACCGTATCAAGACTAAGATCATCTATCCAAACATCCAAGTTGGACGCTCCTGGTTTGACACTAAGCTCAGCCGCAACATCATGCATGATGAGTTTGGCTATCGATGGTGCCGCAGGGCACCCTGGCAAGAGTCCGGTATTGGCCTTTATGACCGGTGCGACCGTGCCTTCGGCCTGTAGGTACCTGGCTCCACTGTAAACCAGATATGCCTGGTGTAAAATGATGGGCGGATAGCCCAACTTGAGTCCCGCCCGGAACATTTCATCGAACCGGCAACGATCGAAGAAGGTTTCTAAATCTAAAAAGAGTGTTACCATGTGTAACCGGTGGTGCCGAGTACACTCCCCCCGGACCAGTCTCCCCAACGCGACGTCTAGTACGGCTCCTCCCGGCAGGGAGCGGTCCCAGTGGCATTGATTAGCATACTCCTGCTGCCACTGGTTTATCAAGGAGAAACGGAGGCGCACATATGAGCGGTAAAGCACATGGAGCAAGGCTATTGGCCTCTCGCGGAGTGTGCTTTTGGGCAGGCAAGCTATCAAGGAAATGGCAAACTGTGCTGGCCACTCTGCACTAGCCTCGCAAGCGTGCATGAAATCAATAACAGCCCGGACTGCCTCTTCGCTCAAGTTGTTTAGCATCTGTGCCGTCCAGCCGTCGGCCCCAGGAGCCTTCGCTGGAAACTTTTTGAAAAGTTTTACAGCCTTCTCAAAATTTATGGGCGGCAAATGCTTGGCTTGATCGATAGCTCTTGCTTTGACCTCTGCCAACAAATGCGGGTCCGTAGTGACCGGCTGGCACCAAATGTCGTGCCACTGCTTCCATCTTTGGTACACTCTATCTTGCAATGAAAGATTTCGAAAGGGTCTATCACAAGGGGATTCCGTACTTTTGAGGCATTTGTACAAAGGCTTCATACCTTTTACCAAGGCAGCACTCAGCCACTTGGTGTATTGTTTAGTGTTAGCCTGCTTAAAAGCCCCGGTGTGATGCCTGTGTTGCGCGGTGGCTTCAGGTTCCAATGCAAGGAGAGCCGCAGGGTCGCATTGTTGACTGGCATTTGCAAGCGCGCTGGCAAAAGCCTGTAAGGAGGTCGCATCACCATACCATACATCTTTGAGCTGGTTCCCTGCTTGCTGCCCGAAACCACTAACATGCCAACCCGAGTTGCGCACAGCTTTGATCCAACCTAAGAATCTGCACCAGAAAGCCGAAGCCTTACCTCCCCAACCAGCATTGGGAGCGCCCTGCACAGGCAATGGCGCACGATGCAAAAGAATGTTGGCTCCTCTTCCCTGGGCCTGGCCATAAACTGACATTTCAACAGCACAGCTTAGAGCCGCAAAATCAATTGTCATATCGTCTGTAACCTGCTCGTCTAAGATGGTGACCTCTGGCCTGACTGTGCTTAGCTGAAAAGGCTGTGAATCGAGCTGCGCAGGCTTGAAACCCTTGAGCTGCGGCATTTTTTGATGCAACAGGGCAACATCAAGCTGCCAATGCAAAGCTGCATGCGGCCTTGACGGGGTGTTCCAGTCCAGCTGCACCGCAGCACAAGTTGCCAGGCTATTCGAAATTAAACCAAAATCAATTTGGCCTCCGCCAGAACAGGTGGACGTGCCTGGTCCGACCCACACCGCACGCGCCTCCTCCCCAATATGGGTGGAGCTTAGGGTTTCAAAGTCATCATTAAAGTCACCCAAAATCGCAAAGGCACCTCTGATGGATCGGACAAAGGAAAGAAGCGATGCAATGATGCCGGCATTGGTGCTACTCTGGAAACCCTCGCCTGATTTCAAGTACACGTTGACAACGTAAAGATCAAAGCCTTTTACCCTGAACATGGCGGCTTGGTAACCATTACCTTCAACGAGGTGGCTGGTGATTTGCGACACATCGAGGTGTCTCCGGTGCAAGATTGCCAATCCCCCGGTGTTGCCCCCTTTGCCCGTGGCCACAGCCGGGCACTGAAAGACCTCATACCCGAACACCCCAGCATGGGCAGCAAGAAGGCTGCCATCTTTAGCATCAAGGTGGGTCTCTTGAAGGAGGGCGAGGTCCGGGCTTAAATTCGCAATCCAACTAGCCAGCTCTTTACGCCATTTGGTGACATTAAGACATGTGATGCGAACCGGTTGCCTGCTGGGGCGGCACTGCAGGTTTGCCAAAACGTCCTCCACGGCCCATTGTGCCGCTGGGCCACATTCTCCATGAAGTGAATCCATGACCAGTTCGGCGGCGTTCCATTCAAAAGTTTGCTCTTGCAGCAAGCCTGTGTCTTCCAACCGGGAGATCGCCTCCAAAACGGCTGGCTCATCAGCATTTGCAAGGCCAATTTTGACGTCGTTCCAAAGTGAATGTTTGCTGGAGCTTTTGAAGGTCGTGGAGCTCATGGCATCACGCGACCAAAGCTTCCGAGTGCCGCCATCAGGGCGCACATCGGGTGGCAAATCATGTCTTGCAGGCACCTGAGAAGCGCTTTCTGAAGCATGCCCTGGGCAGCAAGAAAAATCGCTATAAATTTGGTCCTGGTTATAGGAGGGTTTCGGAATACCACAGATAACGGGGACCATTTTTTCCGCAAAACCTGAAAATGGTGACGAATCGCCACAGTTTGCACGTTCCCGAGTGCAGCCACGGGGCGCACATCGGGTTGCATCTCATGTTTATCCGACCCTTCGGGATGCACCTTGCAAAATTCCAGCGACTGCTGAGTGTCGCGTGCCGGGCTGGGATCCAACAGGTTTTGCGAGCTATCGTCATCCACAGGTCCCCCAAGACCCCCGGGCCAGCGGCCAACCTCCTCCTGAGAATACGTCCAACTCCCGGTCATAACCTCCTCCGCCGGGGTCTTGGGGGCTCCCCGAAGGGGCTCTATTGATGCAAGGCGAAGTCTGCGGTTGTATCGCCGCCGGGCTCTGCGTGAAGACGGGACTCCAGTCCGCACACCATCAAAGAACCCAGCAACAGCTTGCGCCTGTGACACATGAGTAATCAAGGGCACACTGAAAACTTCATCTTGCACATCCAAGTCCTGTTCCTCCTCACAAGCAAAGAAGTAGGCCGGCCCGGACAATGTGGCACGAACAGCAAGGGGCTGCCGGTCTGTGCGATGGTCGGCTGCCCACTGACACAAGCAGTCTGGGCAATAGCTCATAACATCACTCATGGCAGTGAGGAGCTGCTCTCGATGTCCCGTCAAGAGAGCCTTGCGGCACGCATGTACAAAGTCTTTGACCTCCTGGCTCGGCGTGAGCCCCAAGCTCGGCGCCTGTCCACAACACATGCACTTACCTGCTGCCTCAATGGGACTGGGAAGTGCCTCCAAGTCCACGCGTTGCAAATTGGGGTTAGGGTCCTCAGGAAACGAGGAAGCACACGGGTTTGGGAATGCAAATGAAAACATTTCCATGCTTCCAGTGCCCCTTTGCAGCGAAGATGTGGGCTGCAGTCCCACGTCACAGGTAATTTCGGGCCTTGAGGCGTCGCAGGTCTCACGGAGTGGCCTTCCAATCAGCTGCAAATTGGGGTTCGGGCCCTGGAAGGACAGGGAAGCACACGGGTTCGGGCCTGGAATTGAAAAACATGTCTCTTCGCTGCCCCTACCTTCGGCCCACATCCAAGGGAAGGCTCTGACCCAAGGAACCCCGCACACCAACTTGCATGAAGGACTACTGGCAGGAATGCTGATATTAAGGCCAATGTGCACAGGTTCACCTGAAGGCACATAAGGATCAAGCAAAGCTGCCCGTCGCATCCTGGAACACATGGCCTCTTCAGGAAGGCAATGAGGGCAAAGGGGCAGCATGCGGAGACCCGGGCATGGAAAGGAGGCCATCACTCTCACATGACAGCAAGCACAACACAGTTCTGGACATGCCGGCTGCACTGCACTGCACTCCCAACCTTTACCAAAGTCCAAAGACTCCCTAACCCATCCTTGCACGGCTGTGGCCACAGCTGGGCGCACAAAACTGCAGGAAGCAGCAGCACTCCCAGGATGCAAATTGGGGTTAGGGTCCGCACGGAGAGCGGCGTCACACAGGTTCGGGATCGAATTGGTCAAAATTCTATTGGATCCAACGGATGTCCCCAACATTTGACTCAAGGCAGGACTTCCAGCAAGCACCTCAGTCTGCACCTGATTGGGCTCGGAATGCCTCAGTCCTTGCACGAACCCAGCTGACCCATTCAAAGCAACTCGTCGGCGTGAGGGTGGGTCTGCAAGAACGGTGATTTCACAAATTTGGTGCACAGGTTGGCCTGAATGCACATAAGGATCAAGCAAAACAGCCCTGCGGGTCCTGAAAAGAGTGTAATTTGTGAGGCAGAGCCTGAAAGGGGTAGCACTTGCAAATGCTTGGCCTTCGACCCCTTCTGATATCAAGATGTTGGGCTGCAAAACTCGGCTGAAGGCTCCCTCACACTGAGGATCTACCAGCTGCAGCGTCCTCCAGCCGGGCACAAGAAAATTGGGGTTCGAGCTCTCACCAGCTGGCGCGGTCCACAGATTAGGGTTTGGAAGGACCTTCAAGTCAAAATTATCTCCGAAACACCAAGCATGACCCCACCTGGCCCTGCGACAACTGTTCGTTGACTCTGGCCTGGCACAGGATAGGTTGGCCTGGGCTCGTGATCCAGGGACCTTGTGCTCCGGTAGACCAGTTGGCACCCGCTGATCAAGAGAATATCTTTTGTGAAGCCCAAACCGCGACTCAAGACTCAAAAGACAATGCTGGCATAAGGCTGGCAACGAGGGGTCTGGGCTAACGGGAGGCATTGCAAGAGGTCGCTGGCAGCAAGCACAACACACTTCCTGACATGATGGCTGCCCAGACACTCCTATCAAGTCCACACCCCGAGCCGAAGGCCTAGAAACCCAACCTTGCACCAACGAAGGCTCTGCATGGGATGAGCTCGCGACGTGGAGAGCAGTAGCACAGCTTCTGGCCGACGCCACCTGAAAGCAAGGATTACAAACGCACATGCTGCTGGACCCAACGTGGAAACTCACACCTCGTGAGGACGCCAGGGGCGCAACACAGAGCGAACATGTTGTGTTGACAGCGGTCTGCTGGTTTTGCAAAATCTGAGGAGCGGTGCGGGTCTGGGGCCAACAAGGAAAAGCAGGAGCCTCAGGCACATGCAAGTCACTTCCCAAGGAACTCGGAACCCTTATCCAGGAAGAGAACCCCGGAATCCTCCTAAAATCCCCGGAACCCAGACCCTCACCTGCATCCTACAGATCCTCCTTCTCAGCGGCAGCCTCCTGCGTCTTTCTTGGCGACCTGGATCTGGTGCCACGCTGTCCGTTCTGCGCTGGCTCAGATTTCTTGGGCACATCTTGCGTGTTGGGTGCTGCGGCCTTAAGGTCAAAAGCCTGGCTGTCAGGGGGTCCATGTGTGCCGGCACGCACTGCGGCAATCTTTGCTTCCTGCTCTTCAGTCAAGGAAATCCCAAACTTCTCAAGAAACTGCGCAATTTCGCCGTTCAGAGATTCATCTTGGGCCAGGACTTTGGTGGTAAGCTCCTCGCCCGCATCTGCAACCTGTTGCTGCGCCTCTTCAATTTTGGTCTGCAACTGTTTCATCTCGGTCAGTCTTGCGTTGTATTGCTCCTTAGCTTGGTCGATACGCTTCTGCAAGCTAATCTTCTTGTCACCAAGCAATTTCAGAGCAACCGTGGCCTTACGAAAAGCTGCATTTGCTGCAGTTCCAACTTCATAAGAGGTGGGTGCCGGAGTTTGCTCCGGTGGCCTTAGACCTGCCTTGAGCATAAGCTCACGCTGCTGTTCTGTGGCCTCCGACCACAATTTTTGCTTCGCCTCACTTGCTTCCGCACCGTCCATGTCAACATCCAGATCGCCCAGACCTGGGGGCGGAACGACCGAGGCCGCAGCCTGAGGAGGCTTCCATCCTGCTTCTTCAATGGCAATCCGGGATTCGGGAGTCAACCTCTCCCACACCGTGTGCAAAGCTCGCGCAGCCTTGCCTGGCTTGCGCTCCCTAGCTTGTCTGGGCATCCTATAGGAGGCTTCAGACTCCTCCTCGCTGCTCAGCACAAACCTAGTGCGCTTTGGCTTGTCCTGACGAGGCCACGCTGCCCCGCACACTCTGCAACACGGGTGAGCTGCTACGCGATCAGCATACAGCCAGCTCTCCTTACATTTCCTGCACACTACATATGGACGCGACATGTCGGTGTGGTTGCTGTCTCTGTCCAAGAAAACTGTACTGCAAGGAAGTTATGACAACAAATCACAGGGCGTTTTTGGCAAGCAAGGCCCTCTAAAACAAAACTTTTCCAGCAAGCACTCCAAGAAGTTTCTGCACAAGGAAAACAAGGTTGCAAGCTGTTTCAAGCGGTTGTCGGTTCTATGGCACTACGCTACTGCACGTCAGCCGGAGCTGGAAATGCACGCTACCCCCGGCCCACGCGTCCCGAGCTGCACAGGCAGCCTACGAGCAAACGTGTGGTTGATGTTTGAGACCTGTCGAGACCCACAGTCTAGATACGGACTCTAACCTGGGTGCCACGTCGGCAACAGTGCGGCGCTCGCCACTTGAACCACAACAGCTTGAGCCAAAATGGCTACGGAGAGCAAACTTTTCTTCCCGAGCGTCGGACGATGCGCGCGGCTCCTAGGCCAAACTGTACAAGCTAAGCAAAGCTACGAGTAAAGCTACGGATCTGACAGCCTAGCTACGGAAGCAAAACTACGCAGCCCGAAAGCCGCGAAGTCTTGCTGTTGCACGCAAGCCAGCCAGGCTGGACCACGCAGCTGAGGCATTGGTGGGAGTGACGTATTCAACGGGTCATGCACACAGCCACCGTATGCCCCTCACAAAGCTCAGTGGGCCGTCACAAGTGCTTGAGGCCTCAAGTTGAAGGCGAGTTCAAGAAAACCGTCGTCAAAGAGAAGCGAAAGGTAGCCCCGTAGACCAGCAGCAGCAGCCGTCGTACACTTTGTACAACCTAACCTACAGAGCTACCGACGACTGTACACAGCGCAGCAGGAGGTCGTGTGAACACTGAAAGTGCCCACACCACCAGCCTGCAGTGGCCATGATCATATGAACTGACGAGGTGTGTCTTGAAGGCGCCTGGCACAGTAGGCATAGTACATCAAGAATCCAATCATCTTTAGAGGAAGCCTAGACACCAACCAGAGTGGTGTGAACACGCAAGTGCCCTCACCACTGATGCTAACTTTCCTGTTGGGATCTTGAAGCTCGTTTTGGGCCTGAAACCGAAAAAATGGGCCCAGGTCCTTGGGGCTCCTCACAAGGGAATACAGACCTGGGCCCATTTTTCTTGGCTAAGAGCCCTGAGGAAATTTCCCAACCACTGAGGGACATGACATTATAACCATAGGCCACAGCTTAGAGGGTCAAGAAAACCCTATGCAGGGATTCGCAAATGCCACAGTGCTCACAGCACCAGACAAGTCTTACAAGGATCCCCCACAAAAGCTGCCAAGTGGCATATGCTATCGCAATTCCCACAAGCGTGGGAGCATGCTCTAGACTGGCCACAAGCTGGCCTCACGGATCGCTTCAAGTTTTCGGGTGCAGCTTCAAGCGCACACCGGCAGGGTAAAGGACCAAAACGCCAAACTTAAACCACACAAGGGGAAACCGGCCAACTAAACAGCCCAGAACCACAGAAGAAATAAACCAAACTGAAGACAACCGAAAATGGCCAAATTCCGGGAGCTGCCAGAACAGCGCTCACCTGGAACAATCGCTTCAGGTTTGCTCAGGGCAACCAGGCAGCAAGTGCTGTTGCGGCATTGCACCAACAGTTTGGCGCTCTCAGTATGCGGGCGCAGCCAACAGGCGCACACCGGCTCAGGGTGCAGCCAACAGGGCGCTCACCTGATTGCAGTTTAAGATATAGGGTTGAAAAGGCTCGGCATACAGTCGGTGCAGAAAATGGGTGCAGCAGCGAGCGCACACCAGCACGGCAGCACTAAACTACCAACCATACCTGCCCCAACCCACCCCGCGCAAACCCTAGCCTACGCAAAGGACAGTCGGGTTTGTTTGGAGGAGTCCTTGCACTGGGCTTTGGGTTTACATTTGGGTTTAGCCTTAACCTTGGGACCAGCTTTGGCACGAGGTTCCATAGCCACACCAACGGCTGCCACCTGGGGCTGCCGCCCCTGCAAGGATGCCTCAATCGTGCGGTTTTTGGAGCCCTCAACATTGGCCATCGACCTCGCTTGAGTCTTCGAATTCATCTTACGACCAAGGCCTTTACAAGGAGCCTGCAGCACGGACGAAGTCGAAGTAGCAGCAATCTTAACAATGGCCAAACACTTAGTGCACGTGAAGAAAGAACCCTTATTGGCCATGTCATGAGTCTCATGCACTTGCCAAGCGGATGGCAAACTGGCAGCGATATCAAGGC